TATTTCAATAATTCGCTTGCGCGGAGGACCCGGAGAAAACCAAAGGAGGATGGACAGGTGACTCTACACCTTGTCACGTACAACCGGGTAATCGAAACTACGCCAGTTGACTCAATGACAGACCTTATGATAGAGCACACACACGCTAACCATTGCCCCCCCCCCCCCCCCAAAAGAGAGACGTCCACTGAATACAAAGGGGAAAGGGGTTTAACGTCCCACTTTTCAACACAAAATAAAGCTGTCTTTTATTTAGAAGCGGTAACCCGCAGAAAATCCCCTAAGTTAAGCAATAGTAACCCTTAAGGTCTAAGGCGCTTCATAATAGAATTTAATCAAGAGTGACAGGCTACCGAGTGCATGATTACTCTCACCGTGCAGATCGGTCATTCGTCTCTTGTATGAAGTCCTTTAAAATACAGAATGTGGATAAACGTAATTTTAATGTGATAAAAGACGTTTCAAAATTTGAAAATGATAGTCGGGCGCCGCAAGTCTTATATAATTCAAAATCTGTGTATGCATTTGTTATATTTTTTATCATTAAACGTGCAAGATATCTTGAAATAACATAACACTAAATGTTTTTTAGTGACCGTAAACGAATGATAAACCCCTTGACACGATTGAATAAATCTTTAAGCACGTAAGGATAACTTACAATTTAGTAAAATATAAAAACCAAGAAAGAATTAAATAATAAACGTGAGAAGATGGGAATTTTATCATTTTTCTAGCTACTTTAGCAACATTTTGTAGACTGATACATTTTTTCGGTTTGAAAGGAAATGGAAATAAGGATACAAAACGCCCTTAATAGAAACATTAATAATACATTAAAGGAGATGATCCATCTATTCTAACACCGGGTCCAGATCTTCGATTGACATTTCCATAATGATATAATGATTAATAAGCCTCTAGCACCACCAAATTCCGTGACCTAAAGTTTGAGAAGGGGTTATATTTTTCTCACTAACAAGCGGGGTGCCCATTCTGCTAATCATACGCAATCCACCAATTGTATTATTTGCCAGGACTGCGGAATGATAAGTGTGTCATTAAAACAAAACCAAGTAGTACTAATATAGACAAGGACTGTAGATACATTGTCCTTCCCCGCACCCCACATAACCCTGTTGTTTGTATTTTCGTGCACCCTGTTAACCTGTAATAAGTCGTCTAAATTACCCCACGTACCTTGAAGGAGATGGTACAGTTGGTTCTATATACGATGTACTAACAAATGATGTAAGCTACTGGAATCAACTTTTAGCAAAATTATATGCGCAACACTTCAGGATAGAATACGTTAGTGACATCCTCAATTGTAACATATCTTTCATAGCGCTACCAAGTAAAGAAATTGCGATTATTTTAGTAAATATGTCAATTGTGTTTAAATTGGGGTTTGAAATTTGATCTACCATTCCAGCTGACAATTGCAAGTTCTGTTTCCACCAGAGTCATCATGGACGCCAGCTTTAATTTAGTTTCGGGGGGGGGGGGGGCGTTTAAACGGGGGCGTCTAGGAAGTTTTCAAAGGCCGATTTTAGTAGCTATCAGGGTTCTAGAAGCAAAATTTTCTATAGTATTCTTCGAGAATATGTTTCTAAAGGATTTTCTCTTATCTTTCAATTGTCTCTTTGGCATCAAAAGATGTAGGAAATGCCGTCGAATAACTCTACGGTCAGCCATCTTTTTTGAAGCAGAAACAGGCTTAAGGTTGGTAAGCAAGCCGTATACCTTGCTTGGGACTTGTGCTCAGATGACAATGTTTAAGAACGAAGTTGTGCTTAAGTTTTTTCTTGGAACACATAATAACGTGCTTGTGCTTACACTAAAGTCTACTTAAAATGTATACCGAGATTGTGTGCTTTGTAGTTTTTTTTAGTAACCATCTAAATTGCGATTGATGGTGTGCTGACTCTAGTTGGGCTCGTTTTGTGCTCTATGTATGGATATAAGTTACAGACGTCGCTTATATCTCACTGATAACGAGACCTCGGGCAAATTTAAAACTGCGGTAAATCATAGAGACGAGGGCAACTATAAACCAGTTTTAAAATAAAACATATGTAAATTTGATGGTTTATGACAGGGTGTGTTGCGCAGTATAAATTTTGTAATCATGTTTAAGAATTGTATGCATCTGCTTAAAACATTTTGTAAATATACTTCAAAATGTGAACGGATGTTAGTTTCTAATTCTGTACTAAAATAATAAAATAGTTGTCTTTTATTGAATGACTAGGTTATAGACATGTCCGTAACACATCATGCCCGGTATAAATATACAGCAAGTGATATCACAACCCTAGACATGCGTGGTTCCCTAGAAGTAAAATTTGGCGAACCTGTAACCTGTAATTAGCATGTCGTTAATCTGCTACCCAATCGACATGATGCCCATAATTTATTATAAGTACTCACTACTGACAGTTTCTCGAGTAGTTGTCATGTTGAAATATGGGACATCTCCTTTAAATAAACTGCCTCGGGGTAAATCGTCTTAAATAACTTTATTATAATGCTATACAACAATTTGAAGCTTTGTGGTACTGTTTCGCAGAATCCCATTCTGAGGTCCACCCGTGTACTTGGCATGCACATAAAAGTACCACTGACAGTTAAAATCCATAAAGAGTAGGCAGAAACGCCATCTCGTCCAGGCATTTATTGGAAGCCGGTGAAATCTCGTTAATCTGCTACCCAATCGACATGATGCCCATAATTTATTATAAGTACTCACTACTGACAGTTTCTCGAGTAGTTGTCATGTTGAAATATGGGACATCTCCTTTAAATAAACTGCCTCGGGGTAAATCGTCTTAAATAACTTTATTATAATGCTATACAACAATTTGAAGCTTTGTGGTACTGTTTCGCAGAATCCCATTCTGAGGTCCACCCGTGTACTTGGCATGCACATAAAAGTACCACTGACAGTTAAAATCCATAAAGAGTAGGCAGAAACGCCATCTCGTCCAGGCATTTATTGGAAGCCGGTGAAATCTCGAAAGTAGGGATTCGAGCCGATGTCATTCCGATGCCCCGACTGCTTGATAGCCCCCCCCCCCCTGGTAAAGTTGCACTGGACAAAAAATTGGACACGCATGTATTTTAGATTACCACTCAAATCAACTTCCTATTGATTTTCATATTTTTGCCACTGTTAGAAGGGCCTGCGGACAACCAAATTATATTATAATTATAAATATCAGATCAGTTATTAACTGGTATTCTATTTTTGTTATACGCCCACATTTTCATTTGGACGTATTATGCCGTCGCCCGTTTGTCCGTCTGTCCGTCCACAATTTGTTAGTGGACAATCTACAGGACACAATTTTTATCCGTTTTCAACGAAACTTGAAAGATAGGTTTATCTCCCTAAGATCTAGGTTCCTTTCGATATTGGCATGTATCAGATCGTAACTTCATGGATTAGGCCCCTGATTGTACGAAAAATCGCGTTTTTAGTTTGTGAACCTTATAGAGGTCACGATTTTTATCCGATTTTGTTAAAACTTGAAATGTAAGTTTATAACCCAAATATCTCGGTTCCTTTCGATATTCGCGCATATCGGACCGTAACTTCCTGAATTATGGCCCCTGATTGTACGAAATATCACGTTTTTAGCTTGTGGACCCTGTACTGGTCATAATTTTTATTCGATTTCAAAAAAGGTTTGAATATATCACCGTTACACCCTAAGGATGGTTGAGTTCGAATTTCGTAAAAATCGGAACAAAACTGACAGACAAAATGGCCGCCCCTCGTACTCAAATAGCGTAAAAATATGGTATATCAATCTTGTGGACCCTCTAGAGGTCATAATTTTCTTCTGATTTTGATGAAACTTGAAATGTAAGTTTATAACCCAAAGACCCTGGCTCCTTTCGATATTCGCCAATATCGGATTGTAACTTCCTGAATTATGGACCCTGATTGTACGAAAAATCGCGGTTTTAACTTGACGTCCCTCTAGATGTCACACTTATTATCCGATTTTAAAAAAAACCAAACATTCAAATATATCACCGTTACACCGTAATGTTCATTGAGTTAGAATTTCGTGAAAATCTGGCCAAAACTGTCGGACAAAATGGCCGGCCTTCGTACGCAAATAGTGTATAACATCTGGTATATCAAGATTGTGGACCCTGTAGAGGTCACAATTTTGATCCGATTTTGATGAAACTTGAAATACACGTTTATAACCCAACGATCTTGGTTGCTGTCGATATTTGCGCATTTCGGATCGTAACTTCCTGAATTATGGCCCCTGGTTGTACTAAAAATCGTATTTTTTAGCTTGTGGTCCCTCTAGAGGTCACAATTATTATCCGATTTAAAAAAAAACGTTCGAATTTGTCACCGTGATGTTTGTTGAGTTCGAATTTCGTGAAAATTGGGCCAAAACTGCCGGACAAAATGGCTGCCCCTCGTACGCACATAGTGTATAGGATCTGGTATATCAAGGTTTTGATGAAAGTTGAAATACATGTTTATAACCCAAAGATCTTGGTTCCTGTTGATATTCGCGCGTATCGGATTGTATCTTCCTGAATTATGGCCTTTGAATGTAGAAAAAATCACGTTTTTAGCTCACAATATTTATCTGATTTTAAAAAAAAATCTTGTGAATATATCACCATTAGAAACTAAGATCTTGGTTCCATTTGATAATCGTGTATATCCGATTGTACGCAAATTGTGTAAAAGTATGCTACGAAGGTTGTGGACCCTCTAGAGGTCACAATTGTTATCCGATTTGGATGAAACTTAAAACATATCTTTATATCCGAAATATCGCAGTCCCTTTTGATATTTGCGCATTTCAGACCATAACTTTCTGGATTATTGTCCCTGATTGTACAAAAAATCATGCTTGTTTTTAGCTTGTTCTCTATTCATCTCTTGCAAAATGTGGGCGTATACTGCTTGGCAGCCGCTGGTTACTATTTAGGAAAGGTGTCTCTCATTTCTATTACAGTTTTGTATTTGAAGAACTTGAGAAGGGAACCACGGTGACTGATTATCCAGCAGATACGGGGTTCTCAGAGCAAGTTCCCCGGCGAGATATTCCAGCGTGGTTTCATCTTGTCAGTGGTGGTGGACGGGGATCTGACAAGGAAAGGCGTATAGATGTTTTGATGGGACGAAAACCCGAGGACCCTGTAAACATTGGCGTGCATGCAAAAGAATCCCTGGCAGTTGGAATTCGAAATAAGAGTAGACCGTAGCACGCTGTCCGGACATTAAACCCCGTTTTATTTCATCTCAGTCAACTCACAAACAATGAAAGCGGCTAAATGACACGTATGTTTCGCAGAAAACCACAAAAACAAAATCATGTTTCATTTGTTTTAACCCTAATAAAATACAACTTGACTTTTATGTTTGTTTTTTGGGACGTATTTATCAAACCACTAGAAGCCAAAAACATTCTAACATAACGGTTATGTCTCCTTGACTTGTTAGCATCATATAACAATTTGTTGATTTCTAAAAACACAGCGAATTTTTGTTTTGTCAATTAATTTAAATGAAGAAAAACAACATATTTTGGATAAAAACGAAACCTATTTCCCTATTCAACCGTATAATCTCCTGCTTCAGTTCGGTCTAAAGATTCATGTTGAAAGAGTGGATCCAAAAATCGTATGGCTATTGATGACGTCACATAATATCAGACAAATCAGCGGCTAGATGACTATAGCGTTTTTCTCCTGATTCTACAGGAAAAGGGATAGGACGTCATGGTGAAGTTTGAGACAACCTAGACATTGACCTACTAACCTAGTCCTGTTGACGGGAAATACCGTGTCGTGTTTTACTAATAGTTGGGGGAGTATTAGATACACAACATCACACAACAACTAAAACATTTCCTTATAAATACCATATACAGACATCTAAATAACATGAACAGTTCAGAGGTCATGTCTCTGGTGATAATTTCTAACTAAAGCCTGGCGCACACTGGCGATGTTTTTCGCTTGTTGAAGTAACAAGCAGCCTTTAGGCAAAGAAGGTGCTGTCGAAACTAGTATGTGTTTTCGCGTACAAGCAATTTACAGGGTCAGTTTCAGATTGCCGCCGCTGATCTTGCGACTATAGTCAAAATGGTGGCGCCCATGGATGAAAATCTTGTTACGCCGGATCGCCATCTTACGGAACACCTTAAGTGCACGATTCCACTCTTATATAATTTTTTCGCTCACGATTCCACTCGTATTTGATACCGCTTAAATCATTAGAGGACGAGATCGAGTAGCGATCGAGTGCCTCTAATGAAAACTTTAAGCGGTATCAAAGGAACAATAACAGTCCGATAAATTCTAAACAGGGGGTATTTATCGATATTGTAGCCCAAAATATTTTAACATTTTTCTTGGAATTCTTTCTTTTGCGATAGTTGACGGTCATTTTTTGGTTTTAATGACGTAAATACCAAAGAAAACAATTTTGGCGTAATGAAAATAGCCGTGACCTAATAAGATAACACTCCCTCCCGTTCGATTTGGTTCACTCGATTTTAAATTCTAACAGTGGCTAGGATCGAAATAAATTGCATATCATGTTTGATAAATGTCTATACACGCATGTGACCGTGTGGATATATGCCGTTTAGCGTATGCATGCGGTTGCTATGCTTACTTGTGTTGTCATTTTGACGGTGTAATTTTTTTTCTTCGCAATAAACCCTTTGTATGAAAATTAGTCTCTGTCCTATTCGTATCAGTATCAGCCGGTCTTGTTTATATATATATTTTTAAAACAATATATCACCATCAGTTATTTACGGTAAATAGGGAGTTCAATAAATTATAGTATTGTTATTCACTTGTTGAAAATCTTCGATTTTGACCAGTCTAATTATGACAGAATGACCATAACAACCCTTGTTGAAAATCTTCGATTTTGACCAGTCTAATTATGACAGAATGACCATAACAACCATTATTGTCAGACCAGCCTTGAAATGAAATTTACTTATTTTTTTTTAAAATAATATAGTTTATTTGCAAATACATACATATAAGTATATGCGTATAATACAAACGGGGATCAGAACAAATTGTACAATTTACGAATCTTCTCCCAGTATAATCTAAAATATTTACAATTACCACTGAAATTTAATTTAATACATAGTTATATACATATATACATGCTACCTTAGGATAATAAATAAGTCCATTTCGTTACATGCTCAGTGAGTATTAACAGTGATAAACCACTGGAGAATTACAATAATAGCTACAGATTACATGTGAATCTTTTTGTTTCTTTAATGTAATTTTGTACGGTGAGAAAAATATGGATATTAAAAGATTTTGGAAACATAGTAGAACCGTCTAAATAAATTTTATGCAACTCCGGTCGTGGTAGATGGCTTATAAAGCCAAGTTTATCAAGTAAGTGATGGCGTTGTAACACATATTTTGAGCAATCAAAGAAGTAGTGAAATGAATTTTATATGCTTTTATTATCGCATTTACAGTATGGATTTTGAACGATGTTTGATTTATTAAGATCATAATTTAGACCACTACAGGTATGACGTACACGATTATGGTAAATGGATAATTTTCTGCTGCCAATGTTTCTTAATTTTGGAGGTTTGACTTTTGTCTTGATATTCGTTTTAAACTCAGATAAAGAGAGTGTGGATTTTAAACCCGGACGTAAACTATTGAATTGTTGAATGGTTTTAGGAAAAAATGAGTTCTTTGTTACAGTTAAACGAACAAGTGGTACTTTTAGATCATTACAGTTTCTAAGATTATAACTATTGCTATGATAACTTATTATGTCTTGAAGATAATACGGTCCTGTTTTGTGAATAAGGTTATGTAGTAAGCACACTCGTCTTATCCTTCTGCGATCATGTAATTTAGTCCATGCAGTTTCAAAATAAAGCGATTCACGAGATGCATAAATAGTGCAACCAGTTACCGTGCGGGCAGCTTTAAGCTGCAATTTTTCAAGTTTTTCTGAGTTATAATTTGAACAGTTATCCCATACTTCGCAGGCATACTCAAGTATTGGTAAGATATAACATTTATATAATTTATTTAAATTGGATTGTGTAAGTTGAAACTTAGCTCTACGTAAATGGTTAAGTTTAAAAGACGCTTAGATTCAATATGATAGTTCCATTTAAGGTCATCTTGGATATACACACCTAGATGTTTATGAAAAGAAACCATATGTAAATACGTGCTTTGAAATTTAATATTTAATGGAAACATAATATTTTTGTTAGTGAAAATCATTAATTCAGTTCTTTCAGGATTAAAAGATATTAGCCATTTATTTGCCCAGATACACAACTGGTTTAAATCATAATTCAATTCAGCTTCAACATTTGATAAATCTGTCGTCAGCAAATAATCTCGTTAAGCCTTTAAGTTGATCAGATACATCATTTATATAAATAAAAAAAAGCAGAGGACAAAGAATCGAACCTTGTGGAACGCCAAAATTTGTAGACATAGTATCAGATAAACAATTTTCTAACATAAGAACTTGAATTCTGTTATTTAAGTAACTAGAAATTAGTACGAGTCGGTCATCTTGGATTCCATAACTATTCAATTTATGCAATAATCCTTTATGAGAAACTTTATCGAAAGCTTTGGAAATGTCACAGAAGACTAAGCCTGTGTTTTTTTTTTACCTAATGAATTGCAAATATATTGATATGTTTCAATAAACTGATGTACCGTAGATATGCCTGGTAGAAAACCCGATTGGTACTTGTTAAAAAGTTCATTTTTTGAGAAATAACTAAAAAGATTCTGATAAATTAATCGTTCAAAAACTTTAGATATACTATTTAACAGGGAAATGGGTCTATAATTTTTTGGATCCGACCTATCACCTTTTTTATACAAAAGAATAATATTGGCTTGTTTCCATTTACTCGGGAAATATATTCTGTTTTACAATAACTTTGAAAAGTAAATAGAGAGGATTACAGATACTATGATTTACAGATTTTAATACTTTATTATTAACTGGCCCGGGTCCGCTGGCTTTCGATTCGTTTATTGAATTTAATACATTTTTGACATCCGTTAAAGTAAAAGAATAAGTGGGGCATATTGATGTACAGCGTGTCGGGAATTCGGGTAACACTTTCATATATCTTGTATTGTCGAAATAGATGTGAAATATTGGTTCAAAATATTGGCTTTTGATTTAGATTCGTTTACATAAGAACCATGAGAATTTTTCAAGGGGGGAATTAATGTTTTTTGTGAAGTGGGGATGAAATTATTCATCGCTTTCCAGTAATCTCTTTGGGAAAGATTGGACATATCTTTTATTCTATTATTAACGGATTCATTATACTGAGTTTTGGCATATTGTTTCATGTTATTCACTTTATTCCTTGCTTTTTTAAAAAGAGCAATATGCGATTCACTTTTGGTTTTTAAGGCTTTCTTTCTTAATATATCACGTTGTCGAATTTGACGTCTTATTTGGTTGTTAAACCAAGGTTTATCATTAGAATGAACAGTAATTGTTTTAGTAGGAATATATAGAGATATTAATTGTTCAATTTTCTCATCAAATTTCAATAATATTATCAATTTGGTACAAGTCGTTAATAATTTCATGCCAATTAAAACTGTTCATTTCATTATTTAGGGCGGTAAAATTTGCTCTTTTGTAAAGAAAAAGTTCCCTTTTAAAAGATCTTTTAGAAGGTATACCATGATTTAAATAGATAAATGTTGCTCTGTGATCAGATACAAAACTAGGAACATCTAAAGTATCGGCAATAGCGTAAGTCATAAACGATGGGATGATAATAGGATCTATTAATGTAGATTTTGTTTTAGATAATCTAGTGGGCTTAGTTATTACGTTTTTTAAATCATATAAATTAATCAATGATTGTACCTTGTTATCTAATGTTAAAAGGTCAGAGTTCAAATCACCCAAAATTATTATGTTATTCGATATATCTAGAGCATTTTCGATTGATTCATCCAATAAAGGCCAAAAGTTATCTGGCGATTGTTCAGACCTATAAACACAACATAACAACAATTTAATTGTATTAATTTCAATTTTCAGCCAAATAATATCAGCATCAAATTCAAGTGTAGGTACTCTGAATGATATAATATCATGTTGAGTGTAAATTAAAATCCCCCCACCACGATTATTTCTATCTTTACGGTATGGTAAATTATATCCAGCTATATCTATCTCTTCGTTTTTAATGTTACTGTCCAAATGGGTTTCAGTAAAACATAATATTTTAAAATCTGATAGTTTATTTGTAATGAAGTCTATTTTGGATCTGACTGATCTCGCATTCAAATGACAAATTGAAAAGTTGGAATTAGTATCAATGGGGCCCGGATTGG